ACTCTAGGATATTCATCCTTCCTGAGGTTGTTTCATATCAAGTTCCTTGGCATCTGACCATAATTTAGAAAGAATGGTACATATCCTATAGTTTCTGACCTTACTGTATTAATAGCATACTTGATCATAAGTAGTTTATGTATCCAATCCTTTTGTTTAGGAGAAATACACTGTCTGAGCATCTGAGTAATTGTTCTGTTCATTCTCTCAGTCAATCCATTGGTCTGTGGATGATATGTGCTCAATAGCTTCAATTTAATACTTATAAGTTCATGTAATCTTCTCCAAAACATACTGGTGAATAGGGAATCACAGTTGCTAACAATGTAATTAGGCAGTCCATACAGTTTATAGACGTTTTCAAATACTATCTCTACAATTTCTCTTGCTCTGTATGTTTGCCTAGTAGGAATAATGTGTACCATACTAGTTAATAAACAAATAACTGTACAAATCATATCAAAAGGTCCTAAACAGTTCTTTGATTCAGGAAAAGGTCCAACAAAGTCTATTCCTATGCCTTCCCAAAGCCTATTAGGTACTGAGAGTGGATGTAGTAAACCAAACAGTTTCTGATTGTTAGGTTTGCTGATCTTGCATGTATGACACGAATTGTAGTAGGAATTAATGTCTATGATCATATCTTTCTACCAAACTTGTTCTCTAAGGTACAAAAGTGTCTTTCGAGGTCCTAGGTGTGCCAAAATAGAATGTGCATACTCTATTACAATTTCCCTAGCGTTTCTGTTGTGTATTAGAATTCTAGGTATGCAAAGTATGTACCTCTCACTCTCCTAGCAAAATATGAGTCCATTTTTGACATGAAAATTCTGGAAGTGCTTTGGATCTTGTAATATCTGATTGAAGAAGTTATCCTCATGATATCTGCCTTTGAGACATTCTGGGAATTGTAAATCCAGTGAAGATTGAGCTATAATATCAGGTAATTGAGGTTCAATTGAGTTCCAGAGTTGATCAGTAGTGTTCTTTAGTACTGGAACGTTCTGATCATTAATTTCCAATCTAATATCATTGTCTGAATGTCTGTATCCTTACATATTACTTCTGGTGTCTGGTACGTTTGCAGGTGAATTTATTTCATGCAAATCTGATTGTTCAGTGTCCTGAGGCAGCATTTCTGATACCTCACTGTGTGTGTCCATTTCCTGATCTCGCTCTATGTTCTCTAGTATTGTAAACTGGCTTCTAGTCCTTGTAGCAGGCCTGCCCTCTGTTTGGAGGTCTGTCTGTGAGTTTCTGGCATGTCTAGTAATTAATCTAGCCTTTCTACTATGTAGTCAACTTGTAATCAATCCTCAAGGTGAAGTTTTCCTTACTGCTGCTAGTCTAGCCTTGATATATACAGTATCCTGTATCTCTAACAGCTGTGAAATGCTATTCCTGACTTGATTAATCCTTGATAGATCATCATTATCAAGTTGCAATGTATATTCTTACTGAGATCAAGTTGTTCCTAGTAAATCTCCTGAGTATATGTATGATAATGTGTCTGCAAGAATGTTTGTAGTGCCTGGAATGTATTTTACAGTGAAATCAAAGTCTGATATCTTCTCTAGCTATCTGGCTTGTCTTCCACTTAATACTAGTTGCCTTAGAATGTGTTCTAACACTCTGTGATTAGTATACCAAAAGAAATGCGTTCCCTGTAGTAGATTCTTGTGTCTTAGCATAGTTTCTACTCCTGCTAGTAATTCTACATTGTGTACTGGGTAATTCTGTTGTGCAGGGTTTAATTTTGCTGAGAAAAACACTGCTATCTTGGAATCTTTCCAATCATGACCTTAGCTGACTATTCCTCCAATTCCTGAAGCTGAAGCATCTGTAACAATGTTGATAGGTGGTGCATTCTTACTATAATCCAATACTATCCTGTGATTATGCCTGAAATCTGATACTAGCTTTACTATTTGATCAAACACTCATTGTTCAGTGAATGTCCATCTGAAAAATACAGTTTCTCCTACAATTTTTGATAAAATACCTGTAGAAATGTGTAACTAAGGTATATTGGGTGCTAAATACCCTACTGATCCTAAGAAACCTTGTAACAAATCTTTATTAGTAGGTACTTTCCATTGTTGAATAGAATCGACTTTATGAGGGTCCATTCTAATGCCTTGATCATTGATAATGTGGCCTAGTATCTTCAATTCTTTCTGGAACAATTGTATCTTATGTTCACTGAGGTAGAATTTCTCTTTGCACAATATATCAATGACAGTTCTGAGATGTTACATATAATCCTCAATTGTGTCTGAATAAATCACTAAGTCATCTAGGTAGATATCCATCCAGTCACCCAAGTAAGGCTGGAAAATGTGGTTCATTAATGCTTGATAGGTGGCTCTACTATTACAATCACCTAACTGCATTACTTCACTAACCATTGTTCCAT